CACCCTTCTTACTCTCTGGAAATGCTGGTCTTGAGTTATCACATGTCCAAGGACCAACGTGTCCAGATCGCAGAGCACTAAGCTGTAGCTTGAAAGTCTTTAGAATCATTAATCCTATCTAATGTGTGACCTAAACAGATGTCATCTATCTTATTAGCACCCTTTCAGCATACTACAGCTATGCCACTCAGACGGCATGAGAAGGAAGCTTAGAAAACACAGTGAACCTAAGCGAGGAACTGACAGCACAAATCTCTGTTTCATGTCAACCATCTCCAGCTCACCTGCTCCAATCACAGTGCCATGTATGCGGCTCAACTGTGTAGCAAAGGAGAGATTAGTCCTGCACACAGCTGAAGGCAGTGTCATTTAGTGAATCTGGGTCAAGAGCCTCCCATAAACTAAAGCACAGGGCTGCAGCTCCCAGAGCGCATCTCTGAGCTCCACCTGCTGCTCAGTGACTGTCGTGCCGCCCGGCACCGCTCTTTCTCTCCTTTGTTTTCTGGTTCCTGCTCCTACAATTGTAACTGTAAAGCAGAGATGTGTTCACAGCTCCCTGTGCAGCGAACCTTGCAGAAATACCCACTTGTTTGTTCCTCCCGGTGCAAAACAGCTGACAAGCAGCTTTTTGCTGCGTGCTGAGCAGGCAGAACCATCTGGGCTCGGGTGCTATGATCTGCCCTGACAGCAGGAACAGGCATTACTGGGCTTCCCCTGCCACACACACATCGGCCTCAGTAAGGACACATGCATAAAAAGTCAGACCCTTCTCTTTTTGCTCTTTCCACTGGTTGCAAGTAATTTACTTGCCCTGCTGCTGGCACTGGCTGTGCTGTGGGTTTCTTCACCCCCCACACTGGCACTGGGCTGAAATCCCTGCACGCACAGAATTTTAATGCTGCCTTGTGATTGCGCTTCTGGAAAACCCTACAAATGCTATTGCCTCAGAGAACTCAAGGTTAGAAAAGCCTATACGTCAATTCAGCTTTATGCTTTATATTGCTCTTTTGTGTTTTTTTTTTTTTCCAGTGATCTATTTGCTAAGTCTTAATGATTTTTCAGCCTTAACTTCACTCTAGAAGAGTCATGGTTAATTTAGTGCCATGCTGCTGTATTTGCTTTCTTAGAAAGGACCTTGGGAAAAGATGAGGCAAGTGGTTGTGAATAAGCAAAGAGACCTGTTTTGATTGCGTGATGTCTGTCTGTTGTTCAACAACTCATTTCTCACATCAAGTAAAAGCAATTGCTAGAGCCATAACATTGCATAGTTGTCGGATAAAGCAGCCCTTATGCCTTTAGCCTGCACTGAGAGTCACTTCCTTTTCTGGATCTGGCTGCTCAGGGCACTTTGGGTTTTCTCCTCCTTAGGTTCTCATTTATGATTTTGTTATTTCTCTCACAGAAAAAATAAGAGTATCAAGGTATTTGATGCCTTTACATGGACCTAAAGACTTTTCTCAAGTGGTGTTATTAAAATTGGAGACTTCTACCCTGTGCCACATGTCTATCTTCTGCAGAAGATAATTAATAACAGCCATCCTTCCAGCTCTCCCATGTCAAGTGGAAAGTTATAAATGGAGAAATACACTGTGCAGAAGTACTTTTTGTTTCTTTCTTCATTGTTTTTTATATTTCTAATCCAGATGCAGAGTCTTTGAAACTGCACATTTTTTCAGAGACAATGTCTGGAAGTCTCTGAAAATGTAGTGTTCAGTAACTGCACACAAGTCTGACTGCTCTCCCTGAGCCTGCATCTCAACTGTCCTCAAAGCAGCCAAACAGAAAGCTGCTGTCCTGCCCTGTCCCCTAAACCAGTCAGTTGCAAGGTGGGGGGCATGAGGGCTTTCAATCCCAAATCCAGCTCTTCAGGAAACCACAGGTGTCTGAAATGTGAACATTGAGCTCTGCCTACACTTGCATGGTAAGCTTTTCCACTAACATCATGAGTTGTTAAATTTGCAGCATTTTTAACAGGTGAAGTGTATCAGGGTGTTATTAAAAGAATGTGACTGTGTAGCATGTGCAGGAAGTTACACAGAATTTCTGGTTAAACTTGAGCATAGGAAGTTCTGCAGCAATATGCGAAGGAACTTCTTCATGGTGAGGGTGACGGAGCACTGGAATGGGCTGTCCAGAGAGGTTGTGGAGTCTCCTTCTTTGGAGATATTCAAGACCTATCTGGATGTCTACCTGTGCAGCCTGCTGTAGGAGCCTGCTTTGCAGTGGGTTGGACTCAGTGATCTTTGGAGGTCCCTTCTAGTCCCTACGATTCTGTGATTCCTCCACTGAGTCTGAGATTGGTGAATCAGTGTTGGGATATGACTTTGCTTAGTGAATGCATTTCTCTGTGTACTGTAGGCTGGCCAGCAAACTGTGGCAAAGTATTTCAGCCAAAGGTCACAAAAAGAATTGTATCGGCAATCAAGTAAAGCCACATTCTTGGTCTTGGCAAGTTGATTACAAGTATGCACAGCCTTTATGGCAGGTTTACAGGAATAGTGCTGCCTTGGAAGAGGCTGCTGTTGAAGCCAGTATAACAGAAACAAATAATTATGTTGACAAATTCTTGTCTAGCTTTGGGTCACTCCTGCTTACCTTGAAGATGTTGTCAAGCCTACTGTATCCTACAAAATGTACACAGAAATTCCTCTCCTTTGTAAAGCATATGTGTGTTGCAGCGTGTATCCATCATATCTGAACTAGGTGTGCTTTTCACTTGGTAAGGGGGAAGACATGCAATTAACGATCATTAAGGAATCTTCTGTTTTTGCAAAAGTACATGTGTATGCAAAGTGTTCACTCTTTGAGCTGCATCTGCCAGCTAAAGCTTTGACAGGTTTCAGAACAGAGAAAAATGAATTGGGGAAAAAAAGAAGAAAAAAAAAACAGGAAAAGTTGAATGAGGATTAAAATGGCCAGGCCTGCAGTTTTGCTTCAGAGCTGTATGGGACGTATTTTCCAGGCATGTGTTATGCAGAAGATGCTGTGTTGATGAACTGATGAACAACTGATGAGTACTTGGGCACACGCTTACCAGCATGTCTTTGCATAGCTTTTCCATTCTAATACTTTCATTGCATACATGAAGAACTATGAGAATAAAATACACAAATACTTTTCTCTTGTAACTCCTATTGTGCATTTCTATTATCAAAAGTTAATCTGTTCCTTTTGTCTGTCCTACTCATAGATAACATGTCCTTGGTTAAAACCTCAGTTGCTGTGGTTTTTGCACTGACAGGTTTGGACCAGAGCAAGTAACCTATTTGTGCATTTCTCTGTTGAGCACCTACCACAGACATCGGGTTCTCAGTGCAGCATGTTGCTCCCAAGTAAGTTCTGCCTTTCGTTAGACTTCCTGCAGAGAACCTTTCTGGGAACATCTGTACATGACAGACAAACATGGAGTTTGGTATAATCCATTCTTCATTTCATGCAACGTAGGATAGGCAAATAAAGTTTGCACAAATGAGATTCTTAAACTAAAGAAAGTTAAAAGTACAGTGTGAGGTGCAGGGAAAGGTTATCTGAACATCTGTGTACAGTATATGAAAGGGTCTGCATGGGAGTTCAAAGCATTTGGCTTATCTCTGGCACTGAGACAGTTCACCATGGAAAGCAAAGTCTGAGTGTGAGTAAAACCAGTGCGAAGAGCTTTGAAAATCTGCTATGGACCATGAAGTGAGGGCTGTGGAGCATCGTCAGCTGTGTTCTGGGCCCGGCTGGGCCCAGCAGCACAAGCTGGGGGGGGCAGGGACAGGGCTGGTGGCAGCTGTGGGACTGCGTGTCAGGTCATGGCCTATCTGGAAGGGGACCAAGGACAGACGTCAGAGGAGGTGTGCACGTGGGAGGGCGAGCTGCAGGGTCACGGAGACGAAGGGAAAATGGCCTGTTTCCAAGGGAGAGGCCTGTGGGCAGTGTGCCATTTCCCTGACGTCTGCAGTGACAGCTTTAACTGCAGGCTGTGCTTTGGCACTGCTGCCTCATACAGAGCATGGCTGAGGAAGGCTACCTGGCTGAGTCTGCCCGTGCTGCACTGCTGGCAGAGTCACTTTCCCTTTTAAACAGTGATGTGCTGCCCAGTATGGGGTAAATTACGCTGTGAGGTGTGTTAGACTGTGACAGATGACTAAAAGGAGTCTGGTCTTGTCCAATTACCTCCTGCAAATTAGATATTTATAAATATGTTGACTGGATACTCTCTCACCCTTCTCCTGACACAGGGGAGGTTTAGGTTAGATATTAGGAGGAAGTTTTTCACCCAGAGGGTGGTGAGGCACTGGAACAGGTTGCCCAAGGAGGCTGTGGATGCCCCATCCCTGGAGGCATTCAAGGCCAGGCTGGATGTGGCTCTGGGCAGCCTGGTCTGGTGTTTGGAGACCCTGTGCAATAGCACAGGGTTTGAAACTAGATGAGCATTGTAGTCCTTTCCAAGCCAGGCCGTCCTATGATTGTCCAGGCTGCACAGACCCAGGTCTCTCAGCCTTTCCTCATACAGGAGGCGCTCCATGCCCTTTATCATCTTTGTCATCCCCCGCCTGGCGCTCCTTACAGACCTTCGCCGACTCCATCACTCTGTGTCGCTAAGACCCTCGCGCGCCCCGACGGCGCAGCCGTTCCTCCGTGCCGCCAGGCGGCGCTCGGTGCGGCGATCTCGCGAGAGCGGCCGTTCATCTCCCGGCAGCCGCGGCGCCACTGTGCCGATAGCAGAGCGCCGGCAGCACGGGGAGGGCACGGTGAGTGGGGGCTGCGTGCGGGTATTGCTGGATGTCGCTTTCTCGGTGCGCAGCGCGCCCTGCGGTGCCGCCGGCTGCTGATGGGGTCTCGGGGAGCGTGATGCCGGGGCTGCAGCTGTCGTGCAGTCCTTCTCCCCCAAGTAGGCTCCCACGCCTTCGCTGAGGCGCCCGGTCCGTGGCGATAAGACGCGGGGCTGCCCTGCCCAGCCCAGCCCTGGGGAGCGCCTGCGGTGCCTCCCGCTCGGGCCGCTGGGAGGCAGGGACGGGTGTCCTTATAGCGTGGGTTTATTTAAGGGGCCGACGGAAGGGAAAAGGAGCCGTCAGACGTTTCCGTAACGCAGCGACGCTTCGGCCGTGTATCTTCTGACGGAGCAGAACAGCCATTTTGCGAGGGCCGCCGGGCTGCGTGTGGGAAGGAGGCGTTTGCCGCTCTTTGTGCACGCCTCGCGGGGAGCCTCGAGCGGCAACGGCGCCGTGAGGCGGCTGTGGGGAGGCTGTGAGGTGACTTCGTGAGGCGGCTGTGCCGGGGAGGGCTCAGCTGGCGGCTGTGCTGTGACTCTGCTCATGTGGTAAGATGGCTCCTGAACGAGAGGGCTGAGAGAGCTGTGGTGGTCGGTTTGTTTGCTTGGGGAACTGAAAGGTGCGTTTTGGTGCTTGCAAGAGTGGAAAAACAAAATAAGTGAAAAACTTGCAGTCAGGCTGCGTTTAAAGGAAATGCCTCAGGGAGCTGCAGGCTCCACGGATGGCTGGTTTTAAGGGAAAATCTAAGGGATGTTGTAAGGGAGTGCATTAGTGAGGTGAAGGGTGTGAAACCTTGTGGAACAGCAGCTGTGGATGAGCCAGGCTGTGTCAGTACAAGGACAGAATGGCACTCAGAGGCTGTTCTTCCCTTCCCTGGCAGCTCTGCTGAGCCTTGCTGGGATCAGCTTCCAGCTGCTGGAGTTTGCTGGCTAGACAGAAATGCCAGGGGCACGTGAGCAGCAGGGAGGGTTGCCTAAGCTCCTGTGGTTGAGCCTGTTGTCAAATATTTGTTGTTTTTCCTGTGGTTGAATAAATTCTATGGGCTAAAGCATTCTGGAGTCTGCTGTTGCTCCTGGAGAGAGCTTCATCTCTGCACAGAAAACTGTCGCTGTGGAGTCTCAGGCTTTGTTTTTCCCTTTAATAGTGAAGTAGTGCAGATGGTTTTTCATAGGATGCCCTTCCTCTTTCCTTAAGGAAGCTTCTAAGAATTTACTATTGTGCTTTAGGAACGCGCTAAGAATGAGTCTGCCACAAGACAGAAATAGAAGCTCTTGCAGCAGTGAAACACTGGCAAAGTGCCTTCAGGCGAGGAAGGACTTGGAAACAGCTATCTCTGGAATTGTCAAAGCCGAGCAGCAGATTAAAGAGAACTGGCGAGAGGTAATTTTTCATTTGTTAAAAATGCATTAATAACTAATGTGACTTCACTGACGGTTTAAATCATTCCAGAATACTTTCTGTGGGGAGGATAGTCTGAAGTTTTCCAAGAGATGGGCAAGTATCTTGGCCTGTAACCTAGGCATGCTTTTAGTGAAGTTGTTCTGTATTGCTAGCCTAGGCATGCAGAATTTTCTAAAGCTTTTGGCTGAAGTATCTGAGTACAGAGATGTTGTGAATAGCACTGCTATTTGATAATCCTTTAGAGGCAGCTTGGAAAGTTGCACTGACTTGTGAGTCATGCGGTGTTGTGGGTTACTGTGGTTTAGAGCTTGAGGAATAAATTGGTACAAAAATACCACTTCTGACTGAGAAATAATATTTTAATATTATCTGTGCAGCATATGCTCGTTGGTAATGTTTGACAGCTACAACAAAAATGGAAAATGTTACCTTGCAGGTTAAAGCTAAGATTCACAGCCATATCAGTCGCCAGCTGGAATGCCTGCGCAGCCGTGAGGTGTGGCTGTTTGAGCAGGTAGATCTCATTCAGCAGCTGAAGGAGGAGGCGTTGCAGCAGCAAGCTCAGCAGCTCTATTGGGTAAGAGATAGTTGCATGTTCATTTTCTTGCACTGGGATTTTAAAATGAACTGCATCTTTGCAGTTATTTTCTTAGTTTTAACCTGAGAAGCCCGAACAATAATGAGTGTTTTGTCTTTCACACAGTACTTGGGACAGTTCAATTGCCTTATTCATCAGCTGGAACACTCCTACAATAACGAACTAGCAAACCAGATTTCAGTTTGCCTGGAGAGGTAAATATTGATTACGATGCAAGCTAACACAATTGGTATTTATTTTGACTTACAAACTTAACCCCATTTGTGATTCTGGAGGAACTAGTAATAAACCTGGGTCATCATTTCTGCATTTAGAAGTTTATAGGGGTAAGGTCTTTTAAAGCACTCTGAAATATGATTCATCTTCCTCTTAGATTGGAAGAAGACAAATAAAGCAAGACCATAAAAAGCAGTGGGTGTACTCATTTATGCAGATTTCTTCTGATTTTAACTGGTGATGGCAGCTGAAGTAAGAAGGAAGAACTTGTGTTTTGCTGGTTACTTTGCTGTAGTTTGTGAATTTGCACCTCCTTATTTTTTTACGAGCAGTAAAAATCTTTCATTTTTGTTAATTATTGCCTAGTCAGTTCCCAAAACAGGACAGGTGTAGAAGACAGACAATTAAAAAAATAAGTCTGTAACTCTCATCTTACTCTTTCAGACTGGAAGGTCTCACTCTTAAACCAGAGGAGTCTTCTGTTCTGAATTTTGAGGCTGACACATCGTACCTTCGCCAGGCTATTACCTCATTTGGTTCAATCAAAACAATGGTAAGCATTGAGACTTTACTGGATCGCAGTACTTAAAGTCTGTGTATGTATAGTTAGAGCTTGAATAACTCTTGTGTACAAGTCATATAGTTCTACTTGTTTAGTATTTAGACAGTGCTTTATTAATTATTGCACTTACCTCTCATTTTGACTGAACTTAGATCTAGTTATATATTGTGTTACTTTGGTTGTATTCTTACTCTTTTCCAGCAACTGAAAAATTAATGTTAAGTGTGAGCATCTAAAGGAAAATCTTAGATTGTGGGAAGGTATCTATGCTGTAGAAGTATTTTGGGATTCTTATGTAAGCAATGTATCTTTCATATTATTGGAGATCATTCCCTTAAAGGCAGTGGAATGGAACTAGTGTTTTTATAGCAAATCCTTTTTGTGTTCTGAATATTGAAAATTGTTGGCTATTATGAGTGGATCAGTTGCAACTGCACTTTGATTCTGCTTCTTAGAAACTGAAAAAAACTGAGATTTAAACTGAATTTTACTTCTCTCTTCTTATAGCAAACCTCAGAGAGAGAGAATACTTCTCCTTGGTTCCCAGGGCAGAATTGTTCCCTAACAAACTGTGAGCAGGTAAGATTAGTACTCAAATCTGTTGATGGATTAGCTGTATCAATGGTAAAGGAGAACTGCAGCACAGTGTGTTAGCTTGCTTGAGGAGTAGTTTCTGTTTGTGAAGATATCTGAGTGGCCAATAGCAGCTGCTGTGCTCAGCAATAGTGATGTGGTGTTCTAGCTGCTCCAGGAATAGATGTGCAAGAAGATAGCATGAAAATGAAGTTGGAGTTGGACTGTCAGCCACATGTCTTAAATGAACGGTCCTTTTTGTTGTCAGGTCAGGACTGGGAGCTGTGTAATTTGTTTTAATCCAGGAGTTCATGGGAAACAAGGTGCTGGGCCCTACACAGAAACAGTGCCAGTGAAAATTTGGAGAGCAGCAAACCAAAGATGGAAGTGTGGTCAAATGTAGGGGGTTGTGACTAGATTGTACATTGTAGAAGCTGTTACTTCCCTTGGTTGTCTTTTGCTCTCTGAACAATCTTGTATCACAAAACAGCCAAGGCGTGCCTTGAAGTCGTACAGATGACTGAAGATCTGCTTTTCTAACTTTCTATCTAGAATAAAAACTGGTTCAGAAATTCTGACATGTACTGAATGTTCATTTTGATGTTCACCTTCGATTGCTTCGGCAATTAGACAACTTGATAACTATCAGTGTTTTTTTAATTAGCAGAAAACACTGTGTGGGGCAGTGGGCACCTCGCTTGCTGACTGGTTGCTTGGAAGCAGACCTGTGGATGTTTGCCGGGCTCCATATGTTCCCAGCACCAATCTTGAGGAATGGGTTACCCAAAAATCTGTGTCAGAACCCAGCCAGGTATGCCATTAATGCACTAACCTTGTAAGGAGAGAATGGTTGCAGGTGGAACGTGGTAGAATTTAATTCTTCTGTAATTTTGGAGCAATGACTATGCAGTTATTGAAACACTGCTTTTTGGTGTCAATAACTGTATTTCAATGTCTTTACTAGGATTTAAGCTCTTCCAAAGTCTGCTATTTTGAGAAAGCCTGGGGAAACTTGAAAGATTTGGAAAACTGGCTCCTGCGCAGTCAACAGCATCATGTTGCTGGGAAGACAGATGGCCCTGGTCACAAGGACTCCACCTCGACTTCCAACTCGTCCTTTTCCGTGGAAAATAAGGTGGAGGATTTGGAATCCCTTGTGCAAGAGGAGGTGGACCTTTCCGACTGGCTGCTTACACCTGGCATGGAAAACGGAGGTAGTGCTTCAGATGAGAAATGGAAGAATGAATTTAAACCTTTTAGGGAAGAATTTAATTGCAATGATTGGCTCCTCAAAGCTGAAACATGTACCAGTTGTCGTGGCAGCCAGATCAAAAGTGTGGAAATTGAGAACCTGGGAAATCTGAAGTGCCTGAATGAGCATCTTGATGGAAAGAAGTTGCCCACTACATCTGCTGTAAATGCCTGGCTTCTTCAGCACCCCCAGGCTCCTTTTAAAATGGAAGATGTGTGCAAAGCTAATGAGCTGTGTAGCAGCTTCTCAGAGTGTGTGTGTGATGAAAACTGTGGAAAAGAGGCTCTGTGTAAATGGCTTCTGAAGAAAGAAGGAAAGGATAAAAATGGAGTTCCGGTAAGCCAGAAAGCTGTACCAAACCCAGAGCATGAGATGACAAAGTCTCTTGTCAATTTCTGGCTTAACCCTTCACAACAGCTCCCAGGGGAACCTGTTAGCACCGAGAAAGTGGATTATTCAGCAGAGATAGCAGAACCCTTCAAAGTACTGCTTGAAAGGCCTCTGACAAGCTGGCTAGCCAAGTCTGAACACAGAGCAGAAAGTGGAGATGAAAAGGCAAGCAGAGAGAAAGTAAATAGTTCCAGAAGTCCCTTTATGGACCTCTTGGCTCCGTTCCACCACCCCTTGAACGTAAGCAGTTGGGTGTTGGCTTCAAACAACCTAGAAAATGATAACCCGCCTCCAGTGGAAGATAAATGGCTCCTACACAAGAAAGCACAAGTAAGCATATTCATAACTGCTTGTCACTGCTGTGTTTTAAGCCAATGGAATGAGTTTATTGTTTAAGAACTTTATGCCTATCTTTTTTTCTGAATTCATAACTCTTCTGTACAACATTGGCTGATAATTTCTAAGTTTTTTTTTTAGCTCTCTTAATGTCTTCAGTGATTATTACTTAGTTATTTCAGTAGACTGGGCCAGTGTTTCACATACAGCAAGAGTTAATTTTTAAATACAAGTAGTCTTCATCTTACAGATTCAGGATACGGGTTTTTTCTTTATGAGTGCTTGATGGGTTTTGAAGAAGCATCAGAATGTTAAGCTGACATTAATGAAGGTGGCGATTTTTCCAGGAGTTTGGCCTTCCTACGGTTTGCGACCTGTTTGCCTGTATGAAACTCAATGGAGATAACGAGAGATGGCTGTGTCGCACCACTCTGCAGGTAGGCTGCACTGACTGTGTGTCAGCATATCTGCCCCTAACCGTAGCTAAGGTACCAAATACAAAAGGCAGTGGCTTTCATCTTCAGAGTTCTCCAAATCTAACCTTTAACGGCACTGAGATTTCCTGCCCATACGCCGTCTTAGCAGCTTGAGTCTTCTGCTTTTTCATTATTCCTTCTCTTGATTCCAAGCCAGAGTTGCTTACGTTCTTGAGTAAGACAGTTAAACTGATTGACACTTGATGAAATCTTGTTAACTTCTGCTGTGACTAAAACATGCAGTTAATGTTCAAATGCCTAGGTAACTTCTTTCTTGTTTTGGTAATGTATTTACACATGATATTGTGCTTCTCCTCACTGTCAAAATAATCACAGAATCATAGAATGGCCTGGGTTGAAAAGGACCACAATGCTCGTGTAGTTCCAACCTCTCTGCAGTGTGCAGGGTTGCCAACCACCAGACCGGGCTGCCCAGAGCCACATCCAGCCTGGGGTAACTGTAATTGTTTTCAAAATTCATGGAAAGCCGCCTTCTTAGCAGGTGCTCATCAAACCCTAGAAAGCAAGATACTCTTTTTTAGCAATCGTTTCAGTAGGATTTTTTCCCAGTGTCTTACAAATGCTTTTGTCCAAAAGTGCTTCTTCATGTTTATTGCAGATCAAAAAGAATAACCCTGTTTTAAACTTGTTTAGATGTGAAGAACTGGAGGCGTTGGGATTGTCCCCTTCCTGCTGACGAAACGCACATCACGCTGAGTGACTGCAGCCAGCTGAATTCTCATCTTGGTGTTTGGGGGTCTGCTTTGTCTTTTACAATTATAACAGAAAAACAAATATTCATATAACAGAGTTGTGGTGCAAAATACGTCATCGTCTTATGATTAATTTTGAAATGTAAACCCACTGAGCATAAGCAATCTGACACTATAGAGATGTTAGTCAATTTGTATGTTAGGGGATTACCTGCATCTTCTTTCATGGGCTCTCTTGAAGTATATTGAAACCAGTGCAAGCATAAAGCAAAATCTCTGTGGTGCTGTGAATCATCCACCTTGGCCATCCACTTCAGAAATGTTGCATTTACATTCAGATGCCACAGCTTTGACATGAGCTGGATTCTAGCTCACTGGGGTTGCGAGGTAGCTTAGACTGTGCTTGGAATTAATTGTTTTTAATTGAGCAGTTGCTAATTGCAAAGGTTTCTTTTGCATCTTATATTGGTGTGTATCCCAGCTGAGTACGCATAGTCTAAATTTTGAATACCTCTGTTTGTGGAACCTGGCACATGACATGGAGAGTTGGTAACATGGTTTGCAAGTTCTTGAGCCCTTCAGAGGACAAGGTAGACATTGGTCTGACAAAGGAAAAACAAAATCAGGTTGGTGGGCTTTTCCAGAGTGTGAGCTTTGATGCATCAGTAGAGCCAGAACCTTCTGTGTCCACAGCATTTAGTAACTACTGAAATTTCATGGGAAGAACTGTAAAATTACATGTGTTTGTTTCTGATAGTTTTAGGTAAGTCATGATGAGCTTTTATTGATTAAGCCAGTGGAAAGCAGGAATCCTAGCCAGGTGGCATTTAAGGTAATATTTGGGGAATTGGATTCCTTCTCTTCAGATTAGATTTTTTTTTTTTTTTTCCTATTTTAATTGGGAAGCACTGGCTTTACAAACTGCAGATCCCACTGTCTGATCAATTTTAATGTTTTAGCTGTGAAATTTCTTACTGTTATCAGTATAAATTGAGGGTTTCAGTAATTCTGCTCCCTATAGCCGTGGACATGCAGCTCAGGAGATACTTTACATCTTGAGTTCATGGGGAACAAAGCGATGTTGGGTGGAAATGTGGGTCACACCTGTCAGTTTGCATGAGAAACTGAAGTTGCATCATTCCTGCTGCAGCTTCTGCTCACTTCAAACTTAGTGACTAAAAAGCCTCCTCTTTTCCCTACGGGTGAGGCCTGCCTCAGAGTAAAAATGATTTCACTTCCTTGCAGTGCTGTAGAAATTAACAAGATCCAACCTTGGTATGTGCGCACACGTTGCTGTCTGATACAACCTGTGTATTTGTTCCAGTTTTGGGGCTGAGAGGTACGCTGCACACCTGAAACTGGACCCCAAAAGGGCTTGACATCAGTGGACCACTACCTAGAGGCTTTTGTACTTCAGTAGTTGGAGCTTTCTACTGAAAGCAGAAAGGTGCTTCCGAAGCTCACTTTTCTCCTTTGAACGTGTCTTTGTGGCATGGGGAGATGTACTATCACTAACTCCAATAATAGCCTAATTTGATTAGCAGTTGAACTTGATGAAGATGATTGAAGTGCAGCCCACCTCCTGTAATTCCTCGTAGTTGTGTGCTACCTTATCAGTTCATTATGAGCCTTTAAACCTTGGGAGTATGTATTCCTTTACTTACTCAACTGACTTATCACTAATTGATATTTATGTAAAACATTAACTAGTCTTTTCCATTAAAATAATTGCAGCCAAGCTGTGTCGTATGGCTTCTTTGTGGGATGGTTAACAAAACTGCGGGACTAGCCTGGGTGACTTCAGCTCGGGTGCTGTTGTGGCTCTGCTCTCACCCCAGCACTGGGTTTCTGCTTCAGTTTGCTGCTTGGCTCCCACCTGCACTGTGGTCAGCTGCCCAGGCCAAGGAACCTTAGGGAGCTTACTGCCATCCCTGCAGTGAACAGAAGCTCACAGACACATAGCTGGTATGGCTAAAGCACTGGCCTTTATTCAGGAGCTGTAAGAAACACAGGCTTAGACAAAATGGTGTCTTTTGAGTCTTATTAAGCCTTGAATATTGAAGGATTTATGGATTTTTGTTTTTAATATGATTCAGTCCTCTTCTGCATCCACATTGTGTCTGCCTGCACAGTGAAAGCTGGTTCTCTCTAGCTCTTGAGCTTTCCTTGTATTTGAATGTCAGACTTGTTGCATATTTTGCCTCTCCTCTGAGGATTTCCTATTCCTTTAAAGTGGCACTGTACCACAAAGCATTCTTCTGTGACAGCGTGCAGCTGGGCCAGGCAGCCTTTCCACCCAGTTACCTGGAGTTTCTTTTGTGGGTGTATGTGCATGTAAGCTTTTTTCCTAAATGGGCCAGACCTTCCCTTAGCAGCCACGTGTGGAACTCCTGAGCGTGTATCCTGAGCATACGGCTTTCACAGATGAGGACAAATAATTATTTCAGATCTTCTAAGTACAAAAGGAAGACAAAATAGCAGGTGCAGATAACACTTAATAGCTTTGCAAGCAGTCAGAAAGGTTTTCTTTGAGCTGAGGGGTTAGGCTGATGTACTGAGGAACTGGGTGAAAGCAGGGCATGGGCAATCCCAAGCAGGAGAGCAGAAGCCTGGATAAGGGCCAATGCACCCAACACCAGGGCTGCTCATGGGGCATCTGAGAGGTGCCTGTGGTGGCCAGTACATCTGGGCAGGGAGAGGGGGATTACACAGTGGGAAAAGATGCCTGGGTGGAATGCAGTACCAGTGCTAATGATAGAGTACTAAAAAAGGCTGTGGTACCTCCCATGTCACTGTGGAGCCTGGCGTGCAGCAACACAGGCCAGTATGCAAGTATACAAAGCTTCATTCAAAGCACACTAATTTTCTAGCTATACCTCTGTGCAGAGAGGCAAAATCTGATAAAACCTAAACTGGAATTGCCCCCTATCCTTTCTCAGTCCCACATTAAGTCAGAGGAAACACAACCTGTGAACTCTGGATCCTTTTGCTGCCCTGTCGTACATTCCCCCACGTGTTTTCAGAAGCAGCTTCTGCTGCACTGAGGAAGTTGAGGTTGCCAACTTGTGACTAACGAAGTTTCAACTAATTCCCCTTTGTTACCACAACTCATCTGCTGATAAGGAATGCTGAAGCGGGGTTTGCCTTTCTGTTCATTGAGCTGCACACAAAAGTGGTGGCAGAACAATCGGAAAGCTTTCCTTATAGCTGCTGTCTCAGGTTCCCTTACTTGCTGCCACAGCATGGAAAGGTGTCCATCACTCTTGTCAGCAAAACCAGATGCTGTGCCAGGCACAGCAAGCAGACAGAGCACAGCACTTTGGGACCACGGAGGTCCCTTATGCCCACATTTACATAATTCTCTTTTGGAGGACAACGATGTGCTTACCAAATCCTACAGGTGCAACTTCCTTTTATTCCTACTGACCTCACACATTCTTTTGGTCACAGCTTTTTTAGCAACAGCTTTATGCTGACTGCTCACAATTTACTGGTGACCACAGCAACTCTTGCACATAAAGCATGAAAAGATGCTGTCTATAATCCTTACAGTTTACGCAGTTTTTCTTTGGAGAGCTTGGAGCCATCAAATATGGACATGTATGTTAGTGCATGCTGCTGCTACTAGATGCCCACTGCTCCCCTTTTTCTTCCATGTGAAAACTGCAGCATTCCAAATTAAATCCCATGCAGAGCTGGCTGCTACTGTGGTTGCATTTCATAGCTCAACTACGCATCATGCTATATAAAAGCAGGTTAGGAACCACAGGTGTTAACAGCCTTAGAAAGAAAGCTTATTGCAGAGCTCTGCTCTGAAGCAAACAGTTCCAGGCAACAATCCTTTGTCTATCCTTGTTGAGCATGCAGGAGTACAACTCCTATTAAAGATGACCAAAAACCACGGACTGGGAGGAACCCTCAAAGCCAATGGGGAGGAAAACAGCAGCTCTATCTGAAATTGCATGCACCTTTCCCATGTCCCACCATCAGCACTGCACAGCTGGTGCCCAACTCACCTTTCTGCTGGAAGCAGGACATGGTTTCTTAAGTGGTGCAACCCTAAAGAGTATGTGCTAAAAGGTCCAGCCCTTATACCACAACACCAACATACAACCCACTCTGAATGAAGTGAAACATAAATAAGGTTTAACAAAAAACAGCATTTACAAAGCAGATGGAAAAAAAATGTTTTTTTTTTTCTTTATGTTAGACCTAGTTAAATGCTGGCAGAAAGCACCTGCTTTGAGCTGGCAGCCAAGCAAGGCCAATAGAGTGCAACTGTGAAGTTCCTTTAGGAGAGAGGCTCCTTGACAGAGAGAAAAGCAGAAAAGCACTGCTATCTTTCTTCTACTTTGTCTCTATTTTTGTGCAGTGTACGATAACTATCAAAAGCTTTACAGGAGGTTATTTATTAAGTAGTATCTCTCTTGGTTGTTTTTTTTTTCCCTTGCCTTTGTCCTGTCCTGGGCCTGCTTAATTACAAACTTAAGAAATGAGCTGTTAAACAGTAATCTTGACTACTGAATTGATTTGTAACTTACTGTTCCATTTATCTACAAAAAATGCTCTCAAGCATTTCACAAACTATTTCATGGTTTCACTTCAATGCTGGTAAAGGCGTAGATTCATCACATCTCTGTTTCATCAGTAACCTATAAGAACTACTTAGGGATTGGGAAGAGAAACTTAATAATTAAAAACCCAGTAAGAGCAAGCAGGAGAAGTACTTGTATTGCTTGGCTTCTAATGGTTGGCTGAGTGAGCTGTAAGGTCCTGGAGCACCAAGGTGTTTATAACCCAATGACAGCTGTCTTGCAATAGTAATTGGTTACTGCCCTCCATCCATACACACATTCTGTATTTGTTACAAGTCAGGGAGTGGCACCAGCCCCTGCCTTGCTGCCACCATGCATCAGGAGACAATCAGCCATCCAGCACTTCCCCTCACCCAATTGCCTCATGACTCTATCACAATGGGCCTTCAAAGCTGAACTGTAAATGCAAGTCACTGGATGCAGGACGTCTTTGTCTCAACAGCAGCAGGAACAGCAAACCATAGAAAAGGTGTTGCATAAGTACCACCCTTTTTATTAATTACAATATCCCTTTTAACAGCTTACCCTGAGCTGTAAGAGCAACGAGCCCTGCCCTGTGCCAGTTGCTGCTGGAGGCTCCCACCTGCTCCAGCCGCCCAGGTGCTGTTGACAGACCTCAGTGAAGGGCTCTATGGACAGAGCCTTTATTGTGCAGCAGCAGCACTCATCTGACCGGACCTGGCAGCACAGCTGGTGCAGTGATGGGACTCGAGCACGCTGCGTGGCTCTGGCCCAGGGCTGGCTGGTGAGCATGTCAGGGAGACTGTCGTGGTGGCCGCTCCGCTCGCAGGTCCAACAACTATCACTGCCTCCAGCAAGTGGCTGGCAGGAAGGAAAGGGCCAATCCAGCTAAACGGTGGCAGGAGATTCCTCCCAGCACAGCTTCCTTCAGTTTCTCACTAATTGTAAATAGAATAGGAAGGGGCACCAGACAGATCTCGCAATGATTGTTTGGTGACTGTGCAAGCGTGTCCTCTGCCCGGCGCTGACTGCCCTGCTCAGAGGGACTGCCGGGCAATGGAGCCCTTCATGTGCTCCCAGTTGTTATACAGAGCGTAGAGGCCAGTGAGAGTCAGACCTGCAATGCCCCCTCGTGCTATCCCACGCACTCCACCTGAAAAAGAAGAAAAGCTCATTAACACCGTTCCATGCAATCATGAGCCGCAGCAACTCCCACGAAGTTGTTCGCATCTACAACATGTGCTTTTTTGAATAACCTTCCACAAGGGGTGCCTGTGGAACCCCTCAAACCAACAGCTAAGCTCAAGAGAGGTGGTTGATCACCCCGACCCTACTCCTGCTGCTGTGATTTCTGTCACACTTCTGCTAACATAGCACCATGGCTTTAGGAACCACACAGAACAGCTGAAGTAATGATGACTTTTCCAAAGTCCTACTGTTTCTATTTCATCTTTCCTCAGCAGAGGTTGCCAGGCAAACATGATAACCTCTCGCTTTAAGAGCTCCTCCAGTTATGGATTGAGATGGGGAAAAACAGTCCTGTATGTCCATCACAGTCACTAGATTTGAATGGAAAAAGGGCAGGATGGCAATAAAGGAACAGGAGTGATGTGTGTGTGACCTTGGGAACCAGAGACTGAGGAGGGCCATCAGACAGAACCTACCACTACTTTTTTGGTATACTTTAAGCCTTCTGAAAATAAAATAAAATTAAATTAAAACAAACCTAAAAAAAAGCAGTAACAGTCAAGAACTTCCTAGGGCAATGCATTGAATAATTTCCTCAATTCTTATATTCTTCACCTTCAAGGTCATTCTGCAATGGCAAAGACTGAGAAGCGCAGACAATAAATGATGCACATGTATATATAAAGCTACTTAGTTGAACCTGAGGATTCTGTAAGCAAAAACACAGTGCAGGTGAGGCTGCTGCCAGTGCATGGCTGGGATGTGGGAGTCAGTGGCACCACAGCCTCACACAGCCTCACACACCCCACATGAACTTCAATGTACAGTGGCAGAAGGGGAGGGAGGCATCTGTCCCTCCACTGTGACCGAACAGCAGAACGGTTGTGTTTCTCAGGAGCAGGGAGTGCGTTGGTCAAGTTCCCAGAATATACTCTGACCACAGGGGAACATCTGAGAGTGTGACTCAACACTGGGGAACTTCAGAGTTTGATTCTGCATTGTTTATCGGTGCCAAACTAAGCATGCAAGATAACACACACGATTGTGGCCAGATGCCATGCACCCACTTGGTAAAGTTCCTCAGGCTTGAAAGGAAGCACATCCCAGTAATCAGCGATGATTATTCTTTTATTTTACCATTAGGGGCCATAAAGCTGTCTCACAGGATTGCATTTAGGCTTTTAGTGGGGCAGGGAGCTGTTGGCTCCAACTAGGCTGAGACAGCCCTACATGTGCCGCAAGATCAAACAGATTTCACTGGAGCTGTTAAAGCTGTTCGTGCTGCTGGACATGTGCTGCAGCCAGGAAGTTGCAGAGCCAACAGCAGAGCTTGGACTCCGTAACAGAGGTCGCATCTGGCTGTGGCTTTCTAGAAACTTCACTGCCAGACTTACTGTGATGACCTGGGGGGTTTGGATACAAACCTGCTGAGGTCACTGCCCTCACTGCTCCAAGTAAAGCTCTGAGCAGTAAGAAGAGCCATTTATGCACCTATGTGCCTAAACCAGGAACCCAAAGGCAGACTTGTGGCTTTGGTAGCTCAGCCTGACCTCGCTGCAAAAAAAGCTTCTCAAAGGAAGGGCTCACAGCTGGGTACACAGCCAGGCACACACAGGCGTCCCGCTGCTGGCTGAAAGCCACACGTATACCATGTGCAAAACCTGCAAAAATACTATTTGCTTATTGCTTTTTTGGGAAAAATGAATTAAACATTAGTCTAATATTCTGCTGCTTATACTAAGCAGCAATTCTTCGTGGAAGAAACCTCCAAAAGAGGGCTCTTAACTATGCAGCTCTACAGGAAAGTGCATGAAACATGGCACATCCCCACAGAAAGTGAGGCAGCATGGGTCTATGACTGTCCCTACAGGCCCTCCCTTCAGCTCCAAGCCCTATTCCCCTCCTTTCACCTTAAAGTCATATTTGCCCTATAGAAGAAAGGTTGGTTGGAGGCTGATGGAGCCTGATTGTGAGGGAGGCCAGGGTTCTATAGAACTTTTTAACATGCACAGTGGAGCCATCTTCCATCCATCCATCCATTGGTGCTGCTCCTAACAAAAAATAAGCATTAATATTGTCACATGCTGAGGCCAGTCAGGGGAGGAGGGAAGCCCATCTTAGAAAGAATCAACCCTATAGGCCTGAAGCATTCTGCAGGTCCTGCACAGAATTTAAGGCCCCTTGGACTTTGCTGAAGATGCATCAAGGGAAGTCTGTCTGTTTCATGAGCAAGAAATGATGCAGTTGAAAATGAGTGCCTTACTGAGTTAGTTTAAAAAAAATACATCAAAGCTGAAACCACATAAAGAACTTTCCATAACTGATTTCCATCTAAGTAAAAGCCTCCAGGTCTGTAGCAGACACTGAGCAGTAATACACTGCAAAACGCAGCCCAGTTGCTGGGCAGAAAATGTTAAGTCCTCTAAAAAAATCACCTTGTTTCTTAAATAAACAAAAAAATGTAAAAAACCTCTCCCCTCCCATCTCAGCTGTGCTTCCGTGATAGCCAAGTTCTCACCCCTCCTCTGCAATCACCCTCTGCAGCCCTCAGATACCAACTCTGCCTCAACAAACCCTGCTAGAAACATGATGGTGGGCCTCCCATCCTGTATGCTGGGCTGAGATAAAGGCCCAGCTGACAGACACTTCTGAGAGCAGGTATTTTGAGATCAGGCAACTTTCAGGATTGATAGCTGAGAAGCTGCTGTGGGTTTCTGAAAAAGCACCTAATGCTCCCTACTTGACAGTGTGGTTGGTTTGGCTTTAGCTGATGCACCTTTTCACCACAGAGTACTGTCCTTTATCTCTGAAACATTTTACATGCATAGCACGCCGTGAGATGACTCAATGTATTCTAACAGCAGATGCAGTGAATTTGACTCAGTAGGGAAAAACCTGGCCTACACTGTTCAACGTGAGGGCAAAATCTTCCATTTCAGCCCATATCAGAATGTATCTTCAGAGCTCTCATTTCCTGGATGTATAAAACAAGAACATTCTATGGTAACATTAGGATGCCTTAATTGAAAACCTAGCCCCACCTAGTTATGCCCAACAAAAGAACTAATGCATGATTAGTTTTTCCTCTCCCTCTGATATTCAGATTAGGAACTTCACTTCCTTCAGGGCCTGTAGGAACAAGGTGTTACTTAAATGATCTAAGGACTTGGTTTTTCACATACACAAGGCAACCTCAGCTTTTTAAGAAAGTACTGATGTCTAAATACCTGACAGATATGAAGTTTAAAGTTCAGAAGCAAATCATTTACTTGCTCTTCTCTGAATAAAGCAGTGCATTAAGAGACGCCAAAGCCACAGCTGCAGCAGCCTGCTAGCAGTTTCTTCCTTTGCCTCCCTTCCCCAGACAGAAACAAGAGAAAAAAAACACTTGTCTGGCCTAAAGAAAAATAGATTGAACCCAGAGGGAAGACACCTTTATAGCTCACAATGTAATTAGTGAAACAAGCACCCTTGGCTCTTTGCAGTGTAGTTCACAGAACTGATCTTTAGCTCTGTGCAGACTTTACTGGTAGCAGTATAATATTTAGCCCTTCCTAATTAATTAATGACACACTGATTTCTAGGGTTGTGTTCTGAGATCTCCAGATGACAAGTACTGCCCTTGGTTATTGCTAGCATCCATTTCCCTTCAAATTATTTTACACTGAATTATGTACCAGCTACTGTGCAAAAGGCAAGAGAGGTTCTATCAGGCTCCCACTGCACAGCAGCACAGTAAACAAAATTAATTCAGCTTGTCCAAAGAGTTTATCTTTGTTCCTATCTCGCCTGCTGTACAGTGGAAACAAAAGTTATCTACCAAGAAGCACATCTACAGCCTGCGTAACACTCAGATAAAGGTTATTGAAGTTTTCTGTTTAGTGAACTCTGTAAGGCTATGGTGAGAAACCAATGCCTGTCACCTGGACTCAGACCAAAGGTCCTCCCAGCTCAGTATCTTTTTCTTGACTGATCAATACTTAGTGCAGAGCAATCCAACATTTCTTTGCTCTATGATGTTAGTATGTGTGCTTTGTAACCTTTCAGGACAAAAACACTCATCTGCCTAACTTCTGCCTTGGTCTGAAGTCGAAGAATAAAGAGTATCTAATTAAAAGGAAAAGCCATCCTTCTAGGCTTAGGAAATCAGTCTCCCTTTTAGTCAATCCTGTTCCACTTTCTTAAGCTGCAGCACTTTTAGTTCATATGCACTGACACAGGAACACAAAGGGCTTTCTTTCATCCCTCACACCGAATGTTCTGGATGGAATTTAGGCTGAGAGCTTCAAGAGCAGCTTTCATGAAGTGCAAAGTCTGGTGTAGCGAGTTCATACTGAACTAACGCTACCTTCAGGCTAAGAGCTAGTAAGTAACCATAGCATTTTTCCAGCAAAAAAGTCAGAGACCACCTTGGACAAATGATCTGCAAAAGCGTGCTGTCTCCAAGCTCCCCAGGCTAACTCCACTTTCAAACTCCACTCACAGCACCTGCTGACCTAACCCATACAGCGTGCCAAGATGGATTCCATGCTATCATTCCCCTTCTTGCAGCAAACCAACCTACGTGACTGGCTGCAAGGAGGTCTGTCAGAACTCCTGGGCACTTAACTGCTTTAGCCACTTGCGATAGGCAATTTTCAACGAGTAACACCACTTCCAACGAACACAGGAGAGCAGAATTCCCACAGTCAGCACTTGCAGACTTTAATATTCTTTTTATCTCCTCACACACAAGCTGTGGGTTAAGGAGTCTTGCACAAACCTCTTTGCAAACTGCTGGATTTAGGGCGTGGGTGCTCTCGAAGCCTTTTTGGTAAGCCTTTCTGGCATTTTGGTAATGATTAACCCCTCTGCAAAGACAAAAACCGTGAACACTGGGACCAGTTTGGGGCAACAAACCTCCAAAAAGTCTTCATATTATTTTTGTTTCCTGTCTGCTCACGCTCTCTCAGCAAAGGACAAATCACTTCAGTTTCAGAAACAGCCTACAGGAAGGCTTTGTACAATACACAAAAGAGCATTTTTCCAGCACAGCAGGATTGCTGATGTGACTGTTCCATCAGTGCCATGCTTAAAAAGGAACCAGAAAGTCAGAACAAAAAAACCTGCCTTACTTTATACCGTTTCTTCTTAAACACATTCCTCATCTCTTCACAAAAGAGAAGTGATGGGAATGGAAAATGTGAGTGCTTGAACAACACTGCCTCTATCAACTCTGCATCCTCCCTTGTGCATTACAGAATGGACTTGATTTGGGAGGGGTGCCCCTGGGAGTTTCTGACTGCTGTTGAAATGTTAGGGTTTTCACAGAAATGTTTCAAGCTTTCAAATTGCCCCTTTTAATGCCAATACGACATGGCATTCCACATAACATAAAATGGTTACAAGCTTAGAATACATCGCAGACCTGAACTGATCCTTTGCATATGACGTAACGGAGGTATTTCAGAGCTTTTGGACACATATATTGATGTTGGGTAAAGGCACAGCTTTTGGGGGAAGCTTTACCATACTGAACGAGGAAGGGTACTCTGTCATAAGGGGACAGGAAAGGAAGCATGGGAGAAAAAGCAGGAGGAACAGAGCATGATAGGAAAAAAGGAAAATATTGAAATTAAGTTCTTCCAACAGATGTGGCCAACATCTTTTTCACTTCCAGAACTAATCCTTAAAAATAAAGGTCTACTGTGCTGCTCACATTGCCTGTGAAAATGTATTTCTTTTCAGTTTCTGTGTAGGAGGTATAGCAGAAATCCAACACTATGATGAACACACATTTATTCACTACACTTACCTTTATCAGTGTGACTGTGACCTCAACAGATCATATGGTACAAAAGAAAAAGTTCCACTGCGCTCTGGTAATTTTTTTTTAGTGTCAGATGACTGCATGTGACCAAAGCAGACACGCATGGTTGCACTGCACCAAGAAAAGATCACACTAAATGCCAGCTCTATATTTCTGAAAGGCATGGGGGAAACTTCTGGAGTGCAAGATGGCAGTCGTGGCAGAATAGAATTCTTATATTTTCTGTAGCCTATCCAGCTGTACATGGCCATCTAGCAGATTCCTCAGCAAGTCCCAATTAAGTAACTGATTGCAAGAGAGCTATATGCTCTAGCAAGGTTAAATGTACCAGTTGGCATTTCTAAGACTGCTCCAGCCAGTGACTGCTGCTTTTAATTAATCTAAATCAACAGAAAAATAAGGTATCTCAAGCTGCTTTGTTCCATATATAAAGATGATATTGAAGAACTTTTCTAAAACACTGAGGCTCAGCAAAATATGTGAAAGTACAAAGGTTAATTACAGAATTATCTCCTCATACAGGTAAATTATACAGCCTAACTTTTATTGAGGTATATAAACCTGTCACTTTTTTTTCCTGTGGTACCCAGTAATTCTCTAAAAATTATGATCTCCAACTGCTGAGCCTGGAATAATAACTTCTGTGTTAGCAGAAGTCTTGTTGATGAAGTCCAGGCCTTCTCTTTTGCAAACAACTCAATATTCACCAGCAAACTCAGCTTAAACCCACGCTGCTCTAACATTGCTGGTCTTGATCACTGTGCAAAGATGAGAGTCCTGCCACAACAGCTGTACAAACACCCATGTGATAGCTTTACAAATATATGAACTTCTGCATACTTTAACGATACAAATCCATAAAATCTCAGGTTTAGAAAACAATCGTAAGGCTTCTTTAAGTGTTCCACTTGAATTCCTGATTTTTCACCTCCTCAGATGTGACTTTCTTTTTTTTTAATTAACTCCCATTTGGAAAGTAATTTTGTCTTAAACTGTTTAAGATTGTATCAGATGAATGCTTCGTATACGCTCAGAGAAGGCCAAGGTCTCTTCCTATTTTAACATTTCTGTTATTTCTTAACCTTAGAAGCTGACAGCATCATTTTTTTCCCATTTTGGTATAAGTAAACAATTTCAATTAGCTGAAAAAAGATATGCAACTTCACCATATCTCACAGGTAGCTGAGACATAACCCACACATTGTTTTTCACACAACTAAGACTGCTGAAGGGAAACTTGCATTTAAGAAGGTAAATAACATTTCCAGCAGAATTAAGCTGCATTCTTTCCAACTTGCAAAGGTCTAACAATAATAATGAGAGCCAAATTATGTTTGTTATATACATATGCCAAATAAACAGCCTAATGTTTACTCAGCTTTACAATGAGATCATCTAAAAAAAATACCCAGCTTGTTCTTAGCTGTGTTCTTCAGGTATAGCAGGAATAAAAATCAACACTCCCACAAGTCTGCTAGTGGATGCAAGGAAATGGGAATCTCCTTCCATAGTAAAGGAGAGGTTGGGAGAAATACACAGAACACCTGGACTGCTTCAAGATGAAGCTTATTACAAGTCACTCATATGACAACTGCAACTGCAAAAAGCTACGTTCCAGTTCTGTGCCTAATATACCATTTTTATACTCTCAATTATTGGAGCAGGACAGTATTTAGAAAAAGTAGCAAGTCCTAATAACTAGAAGAAAGCACAAGAGGAGAAATAAAAACATTTTGTCACTCTACCAGTGCTTTTGTATAGCATTCCTGTCAAGGTTCCAGCAGCTATGGTATTCAGGTCATCTTCTGCACCTCGTGTTTTTTCAATGATGACTCCAAAAGCACTGTACAGCAGAGCTGGGAAGGAAAAGTATTAAAAAATTCAAGTTAAAATTCCCACTGTCTAAAATACCACGCTCAGAATCAAGGCTCAGTGTAACTAGTTAGACTGTGCACAGATTTTCTGTCTTTGGTTTTTATTCCAGCCCCAACAGTTTTACAGGATAACCTTTCTCTAGCCATAGTTTGGTCATAAAGTAGATTTACTCATGATATCTAGTACTGTCTGAAGACATGACAAACAGATGATATCAAGCAGTGGCTGAGGCTTAGGTCTGTTTTGTTAGCTCAAATTTTTTAAAAGCTTTCCAGATTTAACTTTGTACTGTCAGGCTTTATATTGCTCTCTGGAGATGGCACAAAGCTAATCAGCTCAACACTTTCTAGACAACAGACCAAATTGTTGTCCATAAATCACCAAGATTTACTGCCAGTTGTGTAGGTGTAGCATTCAGAACATGGTACCACAGACTGGAGAGCAAGGGCCTACGTTTCTGCATAAATGCTTGGGATTTGACATATACAACTGCTTCATCTCTGTCTTATGGGAGAACTTTGTCCCCAGACTTTGGAGAAGTCTATCAACTATCCTAAAGAGGATTTAAAAGAGAAATGAGTGAACTTCCAATATACATGCATATACAGCTTAAACTTTCTGCACAAAGGAGAAGCCCTCCCAAACCCACCCCAAGGAGTCTGATGGTATAATCACATTTCAGGCTCAGGACAGGAGAGTATGTCACGGTCTCCATGTGTCCCTTTCATCTTTCATCTGCTAAGAGTTAAAATCTTTCTTTCTGCTACAAGCGGCCATATGAAAGTTGATGAGACAAGTAATAGCACCTTTTTCCAGACAGGCAATGGTGGTTTTCACTGTCTTAGTTGCATGTTGTATGAACAACGAGGGGAAGGAAGATTCCCCTCATACAAGATACATTCAACACATTCTTTGAAATAAAGATGTTGCTGCCTTTGTTTAGGAACAGAGTGACAAAAATTGTTTGTAGCAACAAAAGGAATCTGATACACAGAAGTGTTGCACAAGTGAAATAAAATGCAAAAATTCTTTAGCTTCTTTCAATGATTTTCTCCAGTACTTAGGATGATGCAGAGCTAATACCAATCCCCCAGATATAAAGTTCTGCTTAACTCTGTGACTGGTGAAGTCATACTTTGTAACAAAAGAAACAATTTGTTACTGGAATGCACAAACATTTTCTTGAGTAATCTTTCTTCAAACACAGCTGAAAAATCCTGTTAATGTGTCACTTACCTTCAGACCTTGAACTGCAGTGTTCCTGCATCCCATTTTCCAGAAATGTTTTGATTAGAGCTGGAACAGAAAATACCACTCCCCCAGCCCCCCTTCTTCTGCCCCCCCAGCCCCCCCACCTCAACACACACAAAAAAGAAAAAATCCTAGGCAAATGCTTCCATTTTTGAAAATTATCATGCTCAGTTATTCAGAATCCTGTGGTCTCTACGTTATGTCTCAAAAGCTGATGTCTAAGTTAACTGGCACACTAATCTACTCTTCAGAAATAACACTGAAATAAAATGTAATAAATGCAATTTAGCCCATGCTTTGCATTATTTTTTTTAAATTATAATATAAAATACTGTAAAGTTGTAAGACTACATAGTTGGTTTTACGTACTGATCATTTATCTTCCATTACCACTTTGTGGGGCACTGAGTTCCACCACTGGTCAATTTCAAAACAACGTATTTTCATCAGTTCTCCACTTCTCACAGAAATTCCTTACTGTGACAGTGGTGAGACACTGGAACAGGTTGCCCAGTGAGGTTGTGGATGCCCTCTCCCTGGAAGCATTCGAGGGCTGGCTGGACAGAACTCTGAGCAACCTGGGCTAGAGGGAGGTGTCCCTGCCTGTAGTAGAGGGTTGGAACTAGATGGTCTTAAAGGTCCCTTCCAACCCAAATCATTTTATGATTCCATGGTTCTCCTTTCAGAGTAAGCGTTTATTCTTTTTCTGACTGGGAGGTGGGATGGGAACACCAGCCAAAGAGCTTATATTTTCCAGGACTTCAGTTATTCCATTGACTTTCATGAAGTTCCCATAAATCGTTTTTCTGAAGCAATTTGTGTTCTGTCTCCCCCACTCGGTTTACAGAAGTTCTCCCATCAGGCTTTTGATAATTTTCTTTGCTCTTTTTCTAATTTGTACTAGTTATAAGCAATGTCTAGACCTGAAGTTGGTATCATATGCAATTATTCCACCCAAGCTAACACCATAAAACCACAAAATTTTTTAGTGGATATCACATTTCTTCCGCAGAAACATTTTGATTTTTACCTGGAGACAGACATCAGGGAATGGCTCATATAACCACAATCTCTTTTTAGGTTGTTATTTCTTTCAAAAGGATCCAAATCATACTTTTTGCCTTAAGGTGTAGAATTAACTACAATTTCCTAACCGTTTAGTATTACCTTTAATTTTTTGTCTGTTCCTTTCATTCCATAGCTAGATTTCTTGTTTCTAATGCACTAGAAATATCATTCATTAATTAGAGGCTTCTGGCTACTTGTTCTTAAAATTCAGTTTTGGCCTTTCTGCTGAAATACTCTATACTCTCAAATTCCAAAGAAGCAGATGCAATTGTTCCTGGTGGATGTCAAAATGAAAATGTAGAAGGATATGTTCTCCTTGACATAGTTACATGCTTATAAATTGTTTTCTCTAAAAATGACAAGTTCACTTACCCAGAGATCCCAGAGTGTTAGCCCATAATGCTCCTTGCCTGGTCACCATATTTAGAATTCTGTAAAGAAGTTAAAAAGATATTAAAAGCTTTAGTACTCTACTAAGGCTTTACAGTCAGGCATTATTCTAAGCCAGAGAATTAATGCTATTGGATTTATGATAGCAGGTATGAAGTGTTTATACTACATGTTTATCACTGAAACTGGAATGACAAACTAAAAAGCCTTCCAAAATAGAACAGTTAGGAAAAGCATACAACTCAGTAATACATAATCTCCTCCATCATGCATATTCTAAAGAACAGGGCATGCATTCCTCAAGGCAAATATTTATTTCTGCCCAGTCTTAAGAAAATCTGTCTTTTGAGACAGACTTGTGCCATATCAAGATATGAATCTCGTCACTTCAAATGACTTCTTAAACCTACTAATTTGTTTGTAACACAGCTTTTCATATAGCTAGTGAGAACAATTGATATAACTGAGTTGTTTTAACTGTAACATCTCCAAGAAAGCCAGAGTGCTCTTTTAGAAGGTGCAAGCAAAACAGGGATCATATATCAGGGAGCCTGGTGACACCTACATGAGTGAGATGGGAATGAAACCACAAGTCTGAACAAACTCATATCAGTGGGAAAGAGGAAATCCTGTGTTTCCATTTGTGAAAAGGAGCACACAGCAGAAGTAAGGTACCCTAAATATTTCTGCATGTATGCTTCCGGACTAGCACTGAAGAGCAAAATGAAACCCTCAGCACACTCTCAGGGAAGCACCACGTCACTTCTTGGCATCAGCTGTCACCAGAACGGTGACAACAGCCAGAAGAGATGACTGATTTTTATCTCCCAGCAGTGTAACACCGCCACAGGCACAGTATTGCCCTGGACAGCTGACTACCGCTGGAGCTTAGTTCATCACTTAACACAATGAAAATGTTACACGTTGTATCCCTTCTCATTTGAGTTCATTTGATTTCATTTCTTATTACTTTTCCTCTTTCCTAACTAGGAGAGGAAGAGAGGCTGTTTCTCTTGGTACATGGTTATGTAATGAACTTCATTTTGAAGTGAGGAAAACATCGAAGAGACCAGGGTATTGACAGTCTCCTTCTCAAATCAAACCCCAGCCCCATTTTGTCAACATTCCATCAATTCAGAATCGATGAGAAAACTATTACTTTAACACATGAAATATCACAAGATATCTGAAGGCAAATAGCAGCAAAATTCGTATTTTAAAAAGCGTATATTTAGGATGAATTTAAAGGAGATATAGATAAACGTTTCCCTTCCTTGCCTTTGATTTGGAAAAGACTGAAATTAATACATTAATTCAAGGTGATGACAATCCTCAATGTGCCTTTTCCCTTGCAGGGCAAGGACAAGGGAACAGCAACGTGTGCAATGACTGCCACCTGCTGGGCTGGACCCATCAAAATCCGCATGAAAATGTTGTCTAAGCTTATTCTGAATACATAAAGTACAATTTTGTTCATCTATGGAAGAGTCATAATGCTCACGGGGAGTATTCTGGTTTTATCTTTAATACTACAAATGGTAAAGAAAGGGATGGAAAATATAGAAACTTTTAAAATGAGAAGAGTCTGTACAGACTGGACTGTGAAATAATAGTATATTGCTTGTTTAAAATTCCCTTTTTCCAAAGTAGTTCAGAAGAACGAAAATAGTCTCCCTCAGTTATTTCACTCTTCTAGTTTGCAATGCCTCCTTTAAAGGCACTTATGCTTTCTTATAGTGGTGTCTAAACTACCAATAATTATGTAAGTATACGGCATTCCTTCAAATAACAAGATAAGGTATCATTTTGGGAATGCTGAGGATACTCATAGATGCTGTGATCCAGAAAATCCTATACTTTGTCTAGGGGAACTGTTAGGTCACGACTTGAACTGGTGACTGAGCACCTGGTGAAGGGGTGTTGCTGTCCTGGGAAGCATAGGCAAATTGTTTGCACCTGTGCTCCCCACTTGACAAGAAGGGGTGGACTCAGATTAGAGCCACCCTGGGCTCATATAAGAGCCAGCCACTGTATGGAGGGTATCTCTTTGGTCTATGCTGCTTCCTGAGGAGAAGTACTACACAGCCAGAAAACCCCTTCACCAGTTGAGTGAGTTGCATTATTTTTCAATACAACTATTAGTCTACCTGCAACTACTTTGCCTAGTACTCCCAACAGTCTGTCAGAAGGAATTTTGCTTCTTGGTGAGCAAAATATTTGGTGTAATTAGCAGGATTCTGGGTAAAGCATCTACAACTCAAAGACAGAAATGGCATTCTAAAGACTGCTCTGAAGCCTGGTTACCTGTCCCTGCAGTGGTGGATTACACGATTTCATGAGATGCTGAGGGTTTTAAATGAGAAACGCAGAGATGGTCAACCCAGTGTCCTGCGATTATTGCAGACATCTTGGGTTTTCCTCCTTAGAATCTAAATCAAGGGGAGTGATGCATGCTTGAAACACCAAGTTGGGATGCTGTATAATCTTCTGTTCCCTGCCCCTGAGGACCTTGTGCCAGGGACACAGGCAAAGGTAAAGTGGTCTTAGAAGATGCAGATAAGACCAGAGTGGCTTGACTTGCTTGCACTGCAGGGGAGGTTACTAGAAGAGGTGGTAATCAGTAACTCTGCAAGTAATTGCTACATGTATCCCAGAAATTACAATATACAAATCCTGATTTTCATTGTGAAGGGAACACACTGTGTTGCTTTGGTAGGTCAGAACAACCCCAGTTCTGGTGCCTGACACAATCACCTAACCATCAATATTGGGCTGAAAAATGAAGTATAAATGACTTCAGCATGTCCCTGTTCTGGCAGAAACACTGGCCCAGAACTGTAATATAGCACACATTTTACCTTGGAGGATGGACTTTGCTTGTTCTGGTACTGGTTAAGTAGTTGTTTTACTCTCCCTGAGATCTATGACCAGTAAGACCATCGGGAGGAACAACTGATATGCTCTAATGTCATTGAGGAGTCCTAGTAATGTTATCTTCAGTAGCACCTGGTAGTGGAGTTTATTGAAGAAAAGAACAACCTGGACATCTGGGAAAAATCGCACAACATCTATGATTCTGCAATAACTACAAACCTTGTGTGTGTGATCCTGCAACAACTATGAAGCCTGCTTGCACAAGTGAATCTTTTTACTGACTTATGCCCATTCCAGATGGGAATTACTGACTGTATGACTTGTGATCCCAATGCATGAGCTTATCTCCAAATGCACCTGTAGGGGAACTGTTCGGTCATGGCCTGAGCTGATGATTGAGCACCTGGTGAAGGGGTGTGTCTGGCCCAGGGAGCACAGCTGCAGACAATTTACCTGTGCTTCCCACATGACTGCAAGGGGTGTATTGTGGGTCTACTTCCCTGGGCTCATTTAAGAGCTAGCCTCTGCAGGGAGAACATCTCCTAGACAACAGCTGCTTCCTTGAAAGGAGTGTTCTGCAGCCAGAGATCCTCATCACCAGCTGGGTGAGTCAAACTTTTTTCCTGTATATTACTGTTGGTATTCTCCAATAATACTTTGCTGGGTACTGCAAAGAACTTGTCAGAAACAATTTTGCTGCTCTGTAAGGTAAACAGTACCCAGTCACTGTTTGTGTTGTGAAAGGGTAGGATGTAGGCCAACTGCTAGGTCATGGCTGGAACTGAAGATTGAGTACCTGGTGAAGGGCTGTAGCTGGCCTGGGGAGCACAGGCAAATTGTTCACATCTGTGCTCCCCGTGTGACCAAAAGGGGTGGACTCCTGGGCTCATGTATGGGCCAGCCACTGTAAAGAAAGCACCTCTTGGGCTTAAGCTGGTTTCTAAGAAGAAGTGCTACATAACTAGAGATCCCCTTCACCAGTTGAGTGAGTACCGTTCTTTCTTTATATGGTTATTAGACTACCAGGCAAACTACCTGCAAATACTTTGCCTGGTATTGCCAAGAATGTCAGAAGTCATGAATGTCAGAAGTCATTTTGGTTCTTGGTGCGCAGAACACCATGCAATGCTTGCTCAGCAGCATGCAAATCCAGGCAAGTACATCTTCTGCTTTCTAATTTCCTTCCGGTTCTGATAAGTTCAGGAATGCAAAGAGAACTTGCTCTTAGATAAGTAAGGGGGGAAAAAAAAAAAGCTCTAAACAAATTGCTTCTTTTGGGAATACTTCAACAAATACAATCACTGCCTTGACTTTGAAATAGATTGCTATAAATAATAAAGCTCTAATTTAGTCTCTCAAATATTTAAGATAAGTCAGGAGACATAATTGTCACTAAATGAAAAACAAAGTTATTGAACATCTCTAGTCTAAAAACAATTCAAAACTTATTGTTGACAAATTTGGACTCCAATTTATTTCCACTAAAGACACAGATACATTTAGTTTTGCAATACGTTCAGAGCTAATTTTGTTCCATCCTGAAAAAAACAAAACTGTTACTAAGCTGAACTTCTGCAGTCAAGCACTTACTGTACATTTCTAGGTTTTGACCATGCCATGTTCTGAGTCTCCTTCAAGCCAAGTCGCAAGCCATTCAGCGCACCAAATGCTGCCCCTGGTTAGCAGGAAAAAGAACAGAAACACTACTAGTAGGCACTTAGAAAACTCAAAGTGTGTAACCTGAAGTTAAACAGCTGTTTATGTAAGACTACAGGTAAAGGCTGTTGTAATAGCTGGAAAAAGTGAAAATATGACCACCTACCTGTCATACAACATCCTCCAATGGTGAAAAAGGCTAGCTCAAATCTGCCCCGAGTTTTGTTGGCTCCTGTGGGTAGGATAAACTCATCTGTATCCTGGAGGAAAAAAAGCACAACTTTAAATCAGATACACTTGGCAAATACAAAGTGTATACCATGATTGCTTTTTTTAAACCATGCAGTGAACTAAAGCAAGAACAGATGTAAGCAGTGTTTCTGGACATGTTATCTACACTAGATTTATGTGAATTATAAGTCTTATATTTCAAAAAGAATGGAATACTTAAAAACCATGAAATGATTTGGGTGCTCTTTCTTTTCCAGCTATCATAATTCTCTAGAAATAATATCAGGCAGCCAATCACAGAAGGGCTTGGGTTGGAAGGATCATGAATCTCCAACCCCCCTGCCACATGCAGGGCCACCAACCTCCTCATTTAATACCAGACCAGGTGGCCCAGGGCCCCATCCAAACTGGCCTTGAACACCTCCAGGGACTGCAGCCTGTTACACACCTCACCACTCTCATAGTAAAGAAAACAAGCCAAGGAACTCTTATTCTACGGTCTTGGCAACTATTTATTTCTGTATCCTTAGGGAGGCCACAAGAGACCTGCTGTCATTTAAAGGCTCTTTTTTTTTCCTCTTCAGGTTGTGTAGTGCTGTTCCTCACTGAGCAACCTATACAGATGTAGAAATGCCTTAAGGTTTCCCACTATTTTGATGCTAATGTAAGAACTGTGTGTATCAATGCAGTGTGTCGCTGCACTCAAGCGACCAGTCCTTAACATATGGGAAGAGGAGGAACATGGAACGCATTTGAAATAATGATGTCAGGCACAAAAAATGTGAGGTTGGTAGTTTTTACAGCTGTATTTTACAGCCCTTTTCCTGCAGGAGCTGACTTGTGTTCTTGTAAGTCAGGTAAGTTTGAAAAGATGATGAGCTAGAGAAACCTGCTGAAAAGCAGCACATGATAGAGGTAAGGTTAGCCAAAGCACTTTAATTTTTTATTATGAGACATTGAAAAGATGCATAGAATTCTCAACAAAAATGCTGACTTTCCCAGGGAGAACTATTCACTCCATGTTCTGAAAGTATATGAGTGCTCTTTAAATACAAGGTTACTTTGGAGGGTATTTTGAGAAGAGGTTTAAGTAACTACTTGATATTTTTGACTACTCAGCAACAGCAGGCAAAGATAACTGTGCCAGGGAATCCACTTATGCAGAGGCATATCCCTTGTTTCCTACTCCTATAAGCTTGTTGTATTGCAACCTTAACTGCAGCAGCTCCCAGTGAAAGAAGAACAGAAACAACAGCTCCTTAACTTTGCTCAGAGCCTTCCACTTTTGCATTGAGAATCAAAAGCACACATTAGCAGATGCTAAACAACTGGTGACCTTCAGCACTACTTCTGCAAGTTGTAATGATCACAGACAATATAAGCCATATATAAATAAAATTATTAGCATGCATCCTTATTGGATTAACTTGACTCTCTTCACTTTTTTGTTAATATCAGTGGAAAAGAAAAGCGTTACAGGGTTTTAATTAATTTGTTTTTTTTACAACGTAGTGGTCTATGATGTTAGCTAACATGAAGCTGTGTTAGGAAACAAGCATGCTAGTAGCCATTACTGACAGACGAGGGGATGTGCCAAGTGCCCAGGTATGAAAGAGCTGAGGCCATGTGCCTGGTAGCAGGGGAAAGAGACATAAGAACTCCTTCCACTGTTGGCACATGGACACAGTATCCTTGCTGGTTTTGTAGCAGAAGCCATTGCGCTGTGCTTTTATCAGACTTGGAACTGACCCCCATTTGCCACGTGGGGGCTGTAGGCACTGCACTGCCCTGCGGGGATTCTGAGGCATTCCAGCACGGCCACAAGATCCTCAATGCAAAGAAACAAGCGTCCATCTCACCTGTACGAGGTACTTGGGGTCCAAGCTCAAATACGGGGACAGAGGGCTCATTCCCGTTACTGGGGACAAAGACAAAAAGACCACGATGACACAGCTGCGTGCGGCAGCCCCACACGTAAGGGAGCTAACGGAGGCGGTCCTCGTTAGCGAGCACAGCGACAAGCATCGAGCCTATGGCGGCCGCAGAGCGCCACAAAGCCGGTACCGCTGACCTCACCGCGGGCCCGGCGCCTTGCCGGCCGCGTCCCCGTCCCGGCCCCGCCACGTTGTCCCCGCCCGCGCCCCCCTCCCGGCCCTCCTCGCCGCCGGCCGCTACTCACGCGGCACCCCGGCCAGGTCGGCGTGCGAATACCCGGCCCCGCCGGCGCCGAAGAGGCCGCCGAGGCCGCTGCCCTTGCTGGTGGTGTTGCCGCCGCCCTCCATGGCGCCTCCGCGCCCGCCGCCGCGACCTCCGCGCTGCCGTAAAGCGAAGGCGGCGCCGTCGTGAAGCGGTGCCCTCGCTGCTTTCCGGCGGGGCGGAGCGGAGCGCGGCAGGGCGGCCATTTTGGTGCGAGGCGCGACGGGAGCGGCTGGGCGCCGCGGGCCGGACGATGCGGGAAGGCGAAGTCGCCGCGGCCGCGTTGTCACGCCGTCCCTGGAGGGCGGCCGCCGCTCAGCCTCGGCGGCCGCTGGCGGGCCCGCGCGGCTGAGGCGGGCCGGGCGGGCGGAGCGGAGGCGTGCCCGCCGAGGATGAGCGCGGGCTGCGGGCGGGACCAGCCCTGCAAGAGAGCCCGGCTCAGCCCCGGCGACGGCTCGCGGGGAGAGCAGCGGCCGCCGCTTCCCGACGGCTGCCCGGGGTGGCCCGGGGGGAACTGCTCCGTCACCGCCGTGGGGAACAAAGGTGCGTACCGGCCGGAACGCGGCCCCGGCCCGGCAGCCCGCCGCCTCACAGGGCCATCGCTGCCCGGCTGTAGTTGCCTATGGCCTAAATGACTCGTGTTTCACCTCTGCTGGCGGTGGGATGATGCTTCGCGTTGAGGGCTGCTTGTCAGTGTAGCTAAATCTCTTGTAATGATTTTTTTTTTTTTTTGAAGTTCTCTAAATCTATTGTTGCGATAAGGACACTGCAGGCCTTCCTGACCCCCTTGGCAGCAGTGGCTGAGCCCCATGCCAGTCAAAAGCAGTAGGTAGATGAGTTCATCTGGCAAAGGGAAGGAAAGAGAACCGCAGCCACTGGACAACTGCTCAGAATTGGCTTTAAATGACAGCAAAAAGCAAAATGAAAACATCTTCCAAATGAAAATTACTTTATTTTTTTCCTCCCAGCCCCCTGGAACCTCTGTGTAATTATTTAATGGTTTGTCCTAGTGCAGGCTTGCCTGAAGTGTAACATCACAGAGATCACGTTCACTGGACCAATGTGGTGGGCACTGAATGTGACAAAATCATCCCATGTGTTTGGTTTCTCTTTAGGGGAATAAGTGTTAGTAAGCTTTATGGGTAGTCTATAGATAGAGTTAAAAAGAACAGCTTTCTTTTTGAACATTAGTCATGTCTAGTGTGCACGGTCTTGATGTGAAGTCTCTCCCAGTATGTGGCATACAAGTGAGGTGCTCGGCTGGATCTTCTAGAATGTCTTCTCTTCAGATTAATTTGGAAGTTATGTAATTTCGCTTCATTCTGAAGTTCAGCAGCCTTTCAGGGCTCTCTGTGTTGCTGGTGGTAATTAAAGGTGATAATGCCAGCTCTAAAGTTCAGGTTGAAGAAATGATTTTAAGTTGAGGGAGGGAAGATGTCAGGGGGGAGTTCTTTACTATGAGAGTGGTGAGGTGCTGGAACAGCTGCCCAGAGAGGTTGTGGATGCCCCATCCCTGGAGGTGTTCAAGGCCAGGTTGGATGGAGCCCTGGGCAGCCTGGTCTAGTATTAAATGTTGGTTGGTGGCCCAGCTTGTGGTGGGAGGGTTGGAAACTCATGATCCTTGAGGTCCCTTCCAACCTGGGCCATTCTGTGATCTGCAATTGTTGGTTATTTTTTTTTCCCCACTCCAAGGCAATTTTAAGTATGGTCTAGATTAAAAACAAAAGTCTGGAATTTACAAAGGTTATTACTAAATCTGCAGCTGCTGACTGTTACAAATGGAATATTGCATCAGGTGTAGTTTTAATAGTGTCTGAGTGCTTCCGTTGGTGGGGATAGTAGTGAAGAATTATTTGTGGTGCTTTTGTCTTCATCTGGTCTTATTCATAGAATCGTAGAATGTCCTGGGTTGAAAAGGACCACGATGATCACCCAGTTCCAACCTGCTGCTATGTGCAGGGTCACCAACCATCAGACCAGGCTGCCCAGAGCCACATCCAGCCTGGCCTTGAATGCCTGCATGGATGGGGCTTCCACAACCTCCTTGGGCAACCTGTTCCAGAGCCTCACCACCCTCTATGTGAAAAACTTGCTCATAATATCTAACCTAAACCTCCCCTGTCTCATTTTAAAACCATTCCCCCTTGTCCTATCACTATCCAATGTTCATGTGCAATTGTGTAGCAATGTCATCATACTTCATGTACTAATGCACTGCATTGTGGATTTTCAGCTTGTAAACAACGGACAATTACCACTTGGTTGGAGAATAAAGGACCCAAGACAACTGAGTCCCGAAGGTAAAACATTCACTGGCGCTATTCAAAAGTTGTGTTCTTTGAGTGGACCTGTGCAGAACTGAGAGTGCAGGTTGCCTGTACTGGTAGCTACTGAAAAAAATCAACCTTATTTCTGCTTTTTTGCTTTTGTACCACACCTCCTGAGTGTAAGTGCCTGACAGAGTTTTGCTACAGAAAACTAACTAATCTCCCACTCTCCCAGGAGTAGTAAACCTTTTTGCTAACTTAGCAAAACTCAACTCACCATTGAGGTTGCTCTTGTAAAGAAAAAGATGAGAACGTGTAGCAGGGTAAGGCAGAGTGGGCTGCTGCTTCTAGAGGCAGTCAGGCAGCTGTGGTTATCAGGCCATGTCTGTAGTCAATGTCTTTGCCTTTTGTTCTGGCTTAACCTAACTCAGTAATGGCAGAGGTTTTCATCTTATTGTTCTGTATTCAGCTCACAGCTGTTAATTTATAGAAAAAAAAGTCAATTTCAGTCCATCTCATTGGGCTGTGGTTATGTGTATGGTGTAAATCGGATCAGAATTTACAGGGAATTTACTCAAGGATGTTTTGGAAGCTTCAGTGTTGCATGGCATGTGCTACAGTGTGAGAGTAATGTGTTAGGAGCAACATTTGCTAGGTAGTTCATTTCTTCTTGATTTTAATTCTATCTTATGTAGAGTAATATCAGTTATTACTCTTCTTCAGTCATCACAGTGTGAATATATTAATATTGGTGTTTGTAAACAATTGGAAGTTGAAATCAGTAGCAGTGCTAAAATGACCAAGAAAAGCCAGGAAGACTTGTGAAAATGATCAGTGCAGAAGTGTGGAGTACAGGCTTACATTTACAGTGAGCAAAAGCACTTTACAAGGCAAAGGTAAGAGGATGCTTAAGGAGGAAGTGAATAATTTGGATTTTTTTTTCAGATTTGCTTTAGAGTGTAGGTTTGTATGCTCTCTTCCAGCTTTACTGACAGACCAAAGCCTAAAGTTCTGCAGTTTGTAGAAATTATTCCCTTAAAAAAATTCTGTACTGGAATGTTTTCTAGAGGTAATACATTAAATTTCTTTACTTCTCTTCCACAGCCTTCAAAGCAAAATTAATAACAATACTGAAGAAAATACCAAGATGACTTCTGTTAAAAAAGAAAACGTTTGTGAGCATGATGTAAAACAGCTAGAGAGTATTTGCCAGCAGAATTATCCAGAAGTATCTGGGGAAGTTGGCACAAAGCATGTAAATTTGCCTCAGACAGGCAGCATATGTAACTGGGAGGCTGAGGGCAGAGATCCGGTCTCAGACAGAGTGCCTGCGAAGGCAGAACAGACTGGAGAGGCCTTTAAAAATGCCAACATCGATCAGATGCACAGAACTGGCAAGGAAGCTCAGAGAGGCTGCGAGGAAAGTGGTGACATTTGGACTCAGAGGAAACGGTTGTCTGGCCAGTCTTTGAAAATGGGAAATACAAAACTTTCTTCAAAAGATACCGAGGCAGATGGGCAGGTGGTTTTGTGCAGCTCCCAGAAGCTGAGAAGCTGCGATTCTGTTGATACAGGTGAACAAGAAGAAGGAGATGTCGTTCCAGAAAGCCCACTTTCAGATACTGGCTGCGATGCTTGTGTATCCCGTGTTGGAGGTCCTGAGAAACTGAGCAAATGTCGAAGTAGTTCAGGGGATTCACCTGCTTTTGAGAAAGAAAGTGAACCAGAATCACCTATGGATGTGGACAATTCCAAAAATAGCTGTCATGGGTCGGAGGCTGATGACGAAACGAGTCCACTTCTTGATGAGCGGGAGGAGAATCATATGGCCAAATCTGTAAGCAGATCTTTCAGAATTCAGTACGGGGATGCTGAACTGGAGTCAAGGAAATCACGGTTTTCTACTAAGGGTTGTGAAGACTTTGAGGGAATAGATAATTCTGTCAAGGATGATGGTCTGCATATAAAACCACCTGGGATCTGTCCTGCTCCATCATCGGAAAGCAAAGGTGCAAAACCAGGAGTGAAGAAAGACTCCAAAATCACCTCTCATTTCATGAGGATACCTAAAATGGAAGAGAAAAGGTAGCGTTCCTTCTGCCTCGCCTGTTTTGTTCACACTTAAAAATTCTCTTTCCCAGGATAAACTTTGGAGTCTGGATTGTGTAAAGAGCATTGCAAAACGCATGTAAAGGCATGAAGGTAGCTCTGATGTAAGCTTGACGTAACTTGTTTTTGACTGGACTACTTTTTAAAGATATTTTTATTTAGTGCAATATTTTTAAATATTAGATTTGTTAAAACTGGGAATTAAAGAAACTGAATGAAGGTGATTTTATTTGCTGGGGAAGTGTCTTAAAACTGTGAGAATTGGTGCTTGAAAACAAATCGTGGTGCAGGATTGCTTTCCAAAGCTTAGTATTAGCATTTAATATTTCACTCAGAACATTTGAGGAAGGTAATGTTCTGTTGTTCTTTTTCTTTAGTTTTCATCTTTGCTGTCAAAATAACTGGATTGGTTTTATTGAAGCATCAGTGCTACTGATGCTCTGACACCAACAAGAAAAATTCCATTTGTTTGAAAGAAGTTGCAATGATGTGTTAATTTTTTTGGCAGAGAGGAGGACTAATGTTTGGGTGCTACATTAACAGAAATGCAAGTCCTGAGCGTGACCCAGCACTATATCCTGGCTGTTGTGTAAGGACAGTAAGATGATCTGTGCCCTGGAGAGCTCAGGTTCAAGTGGGAGCTGGGAAAGTGAATAAATGGCAAATGAAGAAGTAGAAACAAGAGGACATCATAAGCAATTATCTCAGTAGACTAATGTCTCCTAAAGTAGGGCAAGAAGGTATTTTGCACGTCTTTGCT